AGTGTGTATGGTGTAATGTCCGCATATGTATATAATCAGTGGTCGACAGCGTATTTCAGAAATACCTTGAAGTCATTCGACTGTAAAAACCACGCCAAAACCAATATGAAATGAGCCGTAATAGCAAAATCAGTGGAGGCGGCTCATCCATAACGGCGACCACATAGAAATGGGAGAAAGCTGAGAAGGATTGAATGGGTGCAGTGAGGTTTAGTGTAGAGGGAGTGAGGTGAATGATATATAGATGGTATACATAAGATCACCGTGTGTGTATATATGTAGTATAAATATTTTCATGTATTCATAATATCAGTATTGTTATGTTGAATGAGTATTTGTTATTTTACATCGCGAGTTGCATCATGTGTAGGAAGAATAACATTTATCTTAAGTCTCGACTGTCCTTTAAGTCTTCAAGGACCGTTTATGATAATTACGAGTCAGTGTGCTTTCCATTTGTCTATGATATATACGTTTTTCCTGCGACTCAAGACGGCGCGCGAAGGAGTTGCATCTCGTGCAGTCGAAGACGTTCTCGCCAGATAGATATCGATGGATAGATAAAGATAAATAGCTATCAATAGCTATATAAACATAGATATCGATAGTTATAGATAGAAAGATACCTATCGATAGATATATAATGATAGATATCGATAAATGGATAAAGATATATAGATATCAATATATAGATAATAATAGATATCGATTGATATAGATGGAAAAATAGACATCGATAGAAAATTTTAGAAAGACATCGATAGATAGTTATATATAGAAAGATAAAGACAGATGTCGATAAATAGACATATCGAAAGATAGATATCGACAGATGAAAAGGTAAATAAATAAATATCAATACACCTAAATAGATATCATAGAAATCGAGATAGATATCAATAGATAGATAGACACCAGTGGATAAATCGATATTAATAGCCATTACCTATCGAGAGATAGATAATAATAAATATATAGGAGTGGATAGATTGATAATAAATTAATATATATATATGTATATATACACACACACACACACATATATATATGTGTGTGTATGTATAGATAGTTAAGTGGGTAGGAATGTAAATTTACTGATAGATATATATCAATAGATACATAGGTGAGCCGGAACATAAGTAGACATATATAGATAGATTTATAGATAGGGTGGCAGG